TTATCCACATGGCGCGGACACTCTACAGCAGCAGATATCCTTGCCTGATACCCAGGAAACGACCGACAACCGGTATGAGCCTCTAGCAGCAAGTTGACTTGTCTGATGCACACCACGCGTACGTGTTCGAACATACGCAGCGTCGTACGGGGTGAAAAAAAAAAGAAAAAAAAAGAAAAGGACAAACAAATCTGCAGATGCAGTACAAATAAGTGAGTTCATGGGCACCACATTTACGTACGCAATACACAAACGGTACGTGATGCATACACATACACATTGCAACACTGATGCTGGCTTTGAATCCCACATGTATCGACACCATCCTTAAACAATTCGAGAAGCATTGCACAAGTACAGTCAGTACGAAGATATGGTTTTCTTCTTCCATTTGCGACATGGTTCCATGCGGAACATGGTACCATTTGGGACACGGTGAGCAGACAAACCTGAGGCCCTAATTCGTAGTGTGGCATCCCTCTGCTCAGCTTCCTTAAAGTTGCTCGTAAATAGTTTGTAGAAGAATGGGCTCTGTCCAGCCAGGATTGCCGAGCATATGTGAACGGACTTCACAACCCGTCCCCCCGTCTGCAGTTCCTCTGCATCTGCATGCTGCTGCACGACACACGAGTTGTCTTCCGACGAGCAAAAGTTCAAAAAACAAAAAAAAAGAAGATCGTGTCAGAAAATTCGAGAACGTTGCTTTTCGGACCACCTTGTAAAAGACACAAGTACCTTAGAATGCGGTCTTCTCTCCTCCTAGTGTGTGCATCACGTATGTGTTGTGCAGGCCAAAACGAGTAGGGCCCAAGAGCATGGCGAGGAAGAGCGGGGGCGGGGGGGGGGGGTAAAAAGGAGGGGGCTGGAATAACACATGGAAGCCAGGGATGTCAAACCTGGGCTGACCTGAGACAGTGGACAATGCTGAACCAGGCCTATATATGTAGCCAAGCTGTGGATTGGCATTAACCTCACGAGGAAAAGATTTCCGAATACTATTGTGACTAGCTTGACTGATTTATAGCACAACAAGGTACCGTCCTTACTTTCTTGAGGATGTGGGGGAGGCAGAGTTGACAAACCGAATTCATCAATTACTTGCCTAACAAACACGAACTCTATTGCAGCGACACAGCTCCAAAATCATGTACAGCAGTTGGTAAGAAAAGGGGCACCGCCGCACCAGTGAGTGGGAGAAATGGCGCTTGCATTACAACCACCACAGCAGCACCAGCAACAGAAGAAGAAGAAGAAGAAGAAGTAGAAGAAGAAGAAGAAGAAGAAGAAGAAGAAGAAGAAGAAGAAGAATTCTATTCAAGTAAGATCCCATGATTGGACTCTATTGGACGAAGATGTCACATTATCGAAATTTATTGAAGCACCACGTGATCTCTCTCTCTCTCTCTCTCTCTCTCTCTCTCTCTCTCTCTCTCTCTCTCTCTCTCTCTAACTCTAACTCTGTGTGTGTATTGTAGATTGTCACCACAACAGCCCCTGTTCCAACCAGATGAGTAGATCCGGAATCAAAGCAGCACACTAAAGATGGGCCAATCTAACAACGAAACGGTTTTACCATACTTGCGGTGCGCGGCGTGCGCTCAATGGTGATGCCTGCGCATGTGTGCAGCACGCGCAACTGCGCACGCATGGGCAGTGCGTTGGAGTGCGCAACTGCCCCCTATGCGCTCCCGGTGCACACTGTGAAATTTTTAAATTATATTTTTCTTTGGGTGTGTGCATGTTGTTAAAAAAAAAAAAAAAAATTATCTCTGTCATTCCCTCCATATGTGTGTGTGTGTGTGTGTGTGTGTGTGTGTGTGTGTGTGTGTGTGTGTGCGTGTGCGTGTGCGTGTGTGTGTGTGTGTGCGTGCAGAAATAGCCTGGCACCAACAAAAGAAACCAAGAAAAAAACGATTGCTACATCCCACCAAAGATGGCAAGATACATTCGTTTCTTTTTCGTAGAAACGGATGTATCTTGTCATCTTGCGGCGGAAGATACATTCCGTTGTACTCTGTGTCATGTGTTGTTGGATGAGGGCCTTACAACGCGTGCTTTCTGACAGTATCTGGCTGGAAAGGCACCTTACATACATTCGACCACAAAATGCCCTAAACAGCGAATACAAACGGGCTAATGTGGACGGATCTGTATTCTTGTCGTCTCTGAGAGATTCTGACGACGATTACAGACAGAGATAAAGTCGAAATGGCCCGAGGTCCTCGTTCCACTACTCTCGAAATGTGCAAAATGAGACCGAATGTTTCGCTAGAACATGGAAAGATACACCGCCATATTTTTTGTATTTTGTGCATGTGGACAGTAGTGGAGCGAGGCCCGCTGTGTTATGTCCGTTGATAAGGCGGGCGTTGCTGCTATATGTATGGGCTTTGCTTTCAAAGTCAGATACATTTATGACGAGGCCTCGCTCCACAACAGACCACAAGCACAAAAGACAAAAAATATGGCGGCGTATCTTTGCATGTTCTAGCGGAATATTCATTCTCATTTCGCACATTTGGTGAGTAGCGGAGTGAGGTCCACACCCTTGTTTTGGACAGCTGCCATCACGGACGTTCTTGTTTCTTTTAGTTTGTTATTAGCAAAAAAAAAAGAAAGGGAAAATGGCTGTCAGAGCTGGCGCTTTCTATTCCTAGAAGTACAGAAGACAAAAAGAGCCGTTAGAGAGAGCAGGACCGCCCCTCATCATGACTGTATCGGACCTGGAAGAGCCTTCCATACACACGGGAACACACATTAGAGGGCCGCTGTTGCTGAAACGTTTTTAAGTGCTGTTGCTGAAACGTTTTAAGTGCTGTTGCTGAAACGTTTTAAGTGCTGTTGCTGAAACGTTTTTAAGTGCTGTTGCTGAAACGTTTTTAAGTGCTGTTGCTGAAACGTTTTAAGTGCTGTTGCTGAAAAGTTTTAAGTGCAAGTGCTGTTGCTGCAATTTCTTTTTCGGGCTTGGGTGCGGGCCCACGCCTGTAAAATTTTCTCTGGACGGGATGTACCATCCCCTGCCACGTTTTTTGGGGGGCGGGACCCGGATTTTTGGCTGTGCGGCGCATGCTGTGCGTGCGACACGTGCGCAACGCACAATGCATTGCACGTGCGCGACGGGTGCACATATAGCAAGCAACATGAAGCACAACAGATCAGTTATGTCCCTGGCTTGATTATCTTTGTGGTACACCTTTTTTTGGTTCTTGCAGCTCCCCTTTTACTGTGCCTCTCACGTACAAGGCTCGCCCTGTTGATTGTGGATGAATGCAAGCTGCCCACATCACCACGTGTCAGAACGGCTGTGTGTGTGTGCGTGTGTGTGTGCCTCTGTTCCCTAGAATGAAATCCGCAGGTTTGTTCTCTGTCTCATTGCGTTGCTCCTTTGTCTGTCTGTTTATTCATGCGTGATGACAGTTACACTGACCGGTTCTTCTGAGGTCGAGCCAGAGCTCTACTGGCTTGACCGCAAATGAATCCGCCAATAAACGGTCGTCGAGTATCAACACGCAGACCCACAAACAAGGAACACAATCGGACAAAGAACGAACCTGCAAATTTCATTCTAAGACAGAGAGAAAAAGGGAGAAGGAATGAGAACTCGTCCAAGCGACAGACAAACAACAAAAACAATGAGACAGAGAACCTGCAGAAGAAGACAGAGAGAGAGACACAGAGACACAGAGACAGAGAGACAGAGAGACAGAGAGACAGAGAGACACAGAGACACAGAGACAGAGACAGAGACAGAGACAGAGACAGAGACAGAGACAGAGACAGAGACAGAGACAGACAAACAGACGGAGAGAACCTGCACACAGAGAGAGAGAGAGAGAGAGAGAGAGAGAGAGAGAGAGAGAGAGAGAGAGAGAGAGAGAGAGAGAGAGAGAGAGAGAGAGAGAGAGA